GCGCGGGATTACAGGCTGAGCCACCGGACAATTTTCATACAATAAACTGCATATATAAAATATTTAAAAGTATAAAATTTGATGAGTTTTGACATTTGTTGACACCCATGAAACCATGGCCATGAACATATTAACTACCCCAAAAGTGAAAACAGTGTTTTGTTTTGTTTTTTTAACTGCAGTTTGCAACCCAATATTCATTTGTGGAATCACTTTGGGGGCAATCAATGAGAGACAAAACTGGATGGTCCTAGAGGTTAATTTTGTCCCCTTTTTCAGTAGCTTAGCTGAGTGCTGGCTGCCCCAAGCTTAACCAGCTGTGGAAAGACAAAGCCTTTGGCTGATACAGTGTTCCTGCCAGGCAAGACTGTTCCTAGGGCCTTCTGTATGCAGAACTTGGCCCTGGGCATGCACACTGCCTACCATTGTGTAATCTGGGAGATTATTGATACATTTCTTGTTACTTAGAGAAACTAGGTGTTGCCTGCCCTTTTCCCAGTGTGGAGGTGGAGATCATGTTCTCCTCGAGTGCTCATAAAGGCACAGTCTGCTGGACAGGCAAGCCCCTCTTTACTGGGACTTTGACTATAGTTCATACAAAAATCTGTGACCAGCCTATGCCACGGAACAAGGAGAGTTTGGGGGACTGTGTGTACTCTGCTACTTCTCTGCTTGCTTGTAAGTTTCTCCCCAATAAATTGTGTTTTATTTGCACCCTGTGGCTTATCAAAAGCTGACTCCCCAAATGGCACCAACACAGCCTCTTGATAAGACAAGCTGAATTTATTGCTTACCAGGGTAAAGGAGAATACCACCTCTACAAAGCTTCGGCAGTGTCTCAGAGCGGGGAAGGCAAGGTCAGAACATGAGAATTGGAAAGTTTGGTTTGAGGTAGTTCTTTCAATGCAGGGACTTGATTAGAGTTAGGTAAGGATTCTGACATAACAGTCCAGGATGGGTGGAAACAGGAGGGCAAGGATTTTGAAGTGAGGGATTCAAAGAATCTTAGGAAATTTCAAACTCTATGTTGATGGTTTCCATTGAAGAGTTGATAGATTTTTCCTGGGATATTCCTGTAAGGAACAATGATGCCATTTGCCTGGGCAGGGAGTTCTGAAAAAGTAAAGTTATCATAATGAAGATAGTTAATGTACACAGTAAGGTGTAGTTTTGGTTCTTGGTGTTCAGGCTGAAAATGGGGACAAAAGGCTTAAGTTTTGGGCACCAGTGGTGTATGCTTATGACCCCCTTACCAGCATTTTCAAAAAATGAAACCAAGGAAACTAGAATTAAATTGTATTTAGTAAAGGTACTGTTTTGTGGAACTTTTGTTTCAGTTATACATATGTATGTGTGAAATGAGTTTTGAAGTAAAATGTTTTTCTTACAGTGAGTCTGGATCAAAATATATTTGAAAGCTACTATCCTAAAAGAGGTTATTCCCTTTCTCAGCTTTCTTTATTCCAATCTAACCTTCCATGCTAGTAGAGAAGCTTTTAGCTTTGTTAGGGAAGACTACATAATCTGAGGATTGGAATTAATCCAGTTGGGTAGATTAAGAATTTGAGTGGAAACTTTTTTTTTTTTTTTTTTTTGGAGTTGGAGTCTCCGTCGTCCAGGCTGGAGCACAGTGGCATACTCATGGCCACCCCAGCATCGACTTGCTAGGCTCTGGCAATCCTTCTGCCTCAGCTTTCCAGTAGCTGGAACTACAGGTGTGCACTACCACGCCCGGCTAATTTTTTATTTATTGTAGAAACGAGGTCTCACCAAGTTGCCTGGGCTGGTCTCAAACCTGCGGGCTCAGGAATTTCACTTGCCTCGGTCTCCCAAAATGCTGGGATTACAGGCTGAGCCACCGAGCCCTGCTGAGTGGGAACTTTGAATCTATGATGCTGTGCCATTTTGACAGAGAGTTAAAAGAAACCATGTTGGTAATGCGGCATGAAAGATGGAGGCTAGACATGAACAACAACTTCCTACTATGAGTACTGTTAGCATCTAAAACCAATGTGTATTTATTTCACAGAGGTCCAATTTACTTAGGCAGGGAACTGGATACAATTACCTCTGTGGCCCCTCATTGGAGGGACATTATGATTCTAGAAAGGATCCTATAACAGAAGCAAGCAGTTACTTTGAGGTGTGTTGCGTGGCTATCACTCCCCAGCACCTGGTTCTGAGGTATTATTGGATAGAACATAGAAGTACTAAACACCGTAGGTCCTTGCTCTCGAAGTGTTCATAGTCTGAAGCATATCTGTAAACAGGTATATCGTAGCCCCTTTGCCTATGGTTGTGGACAGATCCTGGGCTCCAGAGCTACACAGACCTGGGAAGGAATCCCATTTTCCTCCTCTCTTAACAGTGCAATCTTAGATCATGCAACTGAGCTTCAGTTTTCCCATCTGTAAGCTAATGAAAACAAAACCAATTTCATTGACATGACAAACTGGGCATGTTAGGTAAGCCAGAGTTGTGAGAGTGAAAGCATTCACCAAGACAGTTATGAATTAAGAAGGGCAGATCTATTAAAGGGATAACATACTATGAAGAGCACAATAAGCAGAACAACAGTGAAAGTGTCTGCTGTCACTAAAGAGGCAGTGGCCTGAGGGTCTTCCCAGCAGAGTTTGACCTTCTTTTTGGTTAGGGTGAGTTTTAGGAATGAGGCAGTTCTGATTGGTTGATGTTTGACATTGATTATAAGCTGCTTATGGACCAGCTGGAGGTTTGTAAAGCGGCTGGTCAATGGTGGGGTTTTGTTTCTTTAACAGCAACAGTTGACTGCTCTGTCACAGGACCAGCAGCAAATGTTTTACAGCTGGCTGTTCAGCTTTTACAATTCTTGTCGTTATCTCATTCTGAGGTGTACTTCCTCAATATAATTTATCCAACTTACTAAATTGGGTAAATTACTAATCAGGTCTCATGTTCCTCCACACAAACTGCACTGGACAATTGTGGAGATGACTTTATTCAGGCTACTGCCATAGGGATAACACTCAAAATAAAATAAAAGAAACTTAGAGTTTTATAAAGGCAGGCAATCAAGGGAGTCATACACAAGTCTTATGGGAGTAATGAAGAAGAATAAAGAGAGTCTAATCTTGGGACATTTGCCAGAGCAGTGTGGGCCTTTGCAATTAGCCAGTTTTGGAACACAAAAGGGAGGACTTGTCAGCTGTGATGACTTTCCTGGAGCCCAAGGCTAATATGATGTTTAATGTTGTCAAGCACCTAGCATAGGGCCTAGCCCATGATAGGTGCTCAATAGGTGTTTCTTTTCCTCTTTTCCTCTGATAGAAGGATGTACAAAGTGTTGTACTGAAACTTATCGAGCCAGTTACTTAACTTCTGTATGCCTCATTTTCTTGACCTGAAAATGGAAATAATAAGAACACATTATTTATAATGCTCACATAATTGTCTCAAAAGACTTTATGTGGATTAAAAGAGGTAAGCACAGAGCTCTTAGAACAGTGCATTGCACTGTATCACTTGATACTGATTTCAGACTTCTGAGCTCCAGAATTATGAGAGAATTCTTTTGCTTTAAACCACCAAGTTTGTGACAATTTGTTATAGCACCCACAGGAAACTAATACAGCGCTCTCTCAGAATTATCACTACTTAACACTTGATCCACTAATCTGTAATTCTCAATAGGTCTCAGGCCCCCATTTGCCACATATTAGACATGATGCTTGTTATGTGCTTTGGCCAAGTCTTCCTGGAACACATAGTTGTCACATTTGGAAAGGGGGGGAGGGGTCTTTACTTAAAACGTACTGCAAAATTATTAGTCTATAAACCCTCAAAATGTGTGTGAATTATTGCTGCAGAGCTGGCAGCTCCTCTGACTGGACTGTATCTTGAGGAGCCATATAAGCCATTTCACTGACTTCTTTGCCAGCAAGCAGCCAAGATCTCGAAGGTGAAACAGTATCTGGTTTCTCGCAGACATCTAGCCAACGGCTTGGTGTGGCTATTCAGGACAGATAACTGTCAGTCAAGCATCACAGACAGACTACATCTTAGGAGAATGAAGCACAATATAGAGAATTAATTGGGATTTGTTGCTGTGAAGTGTAAAAGAGCCATTTACAGCAATGCTGTTAAGATTGCTACCAATAGTTCTCTCTGTCTCAAGTGCTAGATTGGAAAATAACTTCTATGAGAAGGACTGGGACAGAGTCTTAGATACATTTTAGCCAACTTGTAAAATTAGAGGAGATTCAAAATATTATTTCCTCCCAGAGCTTCAAAGTACCAAGGAACCATGCAGAAAAACTAACTATACCTTTGTGGACGTTGCAAACAACAAACAGTGGAATGTTGACAGAGTAAAATCCTACAATTTTCGGCTATGGAAGGAAACCTAGAGACCAGTCTACAACCCTCACTGCACAGATGGGATAACTGAGCGCCAAAACCATATTGTTAGCGGCAAAATTAAGGCGAGTAGAACCCACGTCTTTACATTCTCAAGATAATTCTCATCCTCCTCATCACTGTGCAACAACAGGCTGATACCAATTTAGAAGGCAGGACCCCTGTGTACCTGCCAAAGAAGTAAATTTTTTTTCAACTCAACTTTAGTTATTTAGATATTAGATATTTGTTCTGTCGTCCTGCTTCAGTGTTCATAACGTTTTATTGGGTTAGGTCCTGATTCATAACAATAAAAACATACTTGAAATCGCATTTCCAGGAAGTTCACTGGACCGTTGCCCACCAAGGAGCGCAAAATAAAACTGCTCCGGCAGTCCAGACACCCTTTCGGGTCTGGGACAGAAGCTCATTATCAACGAGGAAATTGGCGGAACCTTGAGACTGAATACTTGCACCTGGTAGGGAAGCTTTGTGAAAAGAACACTTCCGGTCGGCGAGGCTGTAACCCTGCATGTAAGTAGGGCGGCTTCCAACTTTCACATTCCGATTGGCCACGCTGACGCTAGAAGGCGGGCTTGCGTAGGAGTCACGCCTTCCCATTGGCTGCTGGTGCAGCGGCGGTTTGGAGTGAGGGTAGCACGTTGAGCCGAGGGCTGTGCAGAGCTCCGTGGCACAGGGCCTGGTGTTGAATCCTGTGTCTGGTGGGAATCCTGGGCCGGGCTAAGTCTGGGTCCCCGGGGTATGGATCTCGTGTGGAGTGCGTGGTACGGAAAGCGTGTCAAAGGGAAAGGGTCATCGCCACTCTGGACCCACAGCATCGTGGTCGCCTGGCTCAGCAGGGCCGAGTGGGACCAGGTGACGGTTTATCTTTTCTGTGACGACCATAAGTTGCAGAGGGACGCGCTGAACCGTATCACCGTGTGGAGGAGCAGGTAAACCGGTGGACTCGACCCTCTTGGCTGCATTCTAGTGGCGCCTCACCTCTTTCTTTGTCGAATTTCTGTAGGACACGATTCTCTAGTCTTTCCCTAAGTCGTCTAATGTTTCCCCTCTCCCAAATGCCTGGGGGGAAGCTGCAGCCAAGCTCAGACTAATCCCGTTTGTGAATGGAAAGCAAGGGGTTGTACATCAACAGTGCTCTTGTCATATTATCCCTTACCTCCGCAAAACGACTTCCCAACTTGGGGACGGTGCCAGAGGGACCAGTGGGGTCTGAGCCAGGGCTTAAGGAATTGGTTAGCACCCTAGGGTGAATTTCCAGTCTGAATTAGGGAGAACAGTCTTGCCTGCAAACCCATGTTTGAGTGGGGCGCTTCAGTCCAGTTGGTAAGATTGAGTTGGGGGCAAACTAACAAGTAATAAGAGGCTACTCAGGCTGAATGGGTTGAAGGTTTCTGGGCGAAAGGAAGGAGTGTTCCTTTCTAAGTGTTCCACCTAACTATTGATTTACAGTTTAGCAGTTAAGTGTCCTGTGTATAGCCTAGTTAACCCTTTATTCCCTATATACTGTTGGATTCCATGGACATTATCCTCTCCCTTCCCGCCTTCTTGTTTTGTGTCTGTTCATGCATTCTTGAGCCAGTATATGATCGGGATAGCCTACAACAATCTAGATTCTGAGGTGGAGGGTGGACCAGTGTAAGGGATCTTTATGATGGTGCTGGACTGTGGCCCTTTAGGTTAGGCAACGAACTCCCCCTGGCAGTGGCTTCTACTGCTGACCTGATACGCTGTAAGCTCATGGATGTAACTGGTGGCTTGGGCACTGATGAACTTAGACTGCTCTATGGCATGGCATTGGTCAGGTAAGACCTGCATGGGGTAGGACTGGGGGTTGGTGTTGAGGAGTTGGGTGGGGGGACATATGATAAACAAAGCTTGGCTTCAGGTGCTATCTGAAGCAAAATCCTGTGTGTCTATGAGTGTGGGTCAGCCTGTGATAATTTGCTTGACTTGACAGCTTTTGGTATCCTTGTCCACACATTCCCCTTTTTCTTCTCTTTTCCTGAAAGCTTTCTCTCTTCCATTTTTCTTTCCTTCTTGGAATATGGGGGAGGGGGTTCAGACCAGGTGATTTCTGTGGGTCTCTTGACGGTCTGATATTTTTTCTTCTCCTTTAACTCCTCACCTAAAGGAACTTTTGAATGGTTCAGTGTCCTTGGCAGCAATTTAATGTGGACTTTGCAACCCTGTCCCTATCTATACGTAGCACCATCCTTTTCCCTTTCTCTTCCCCTTGAACACTGAAAGGTTGCTGAGTTGTGGGGGTTCCTTTCCTACAAAGTGACTCACAGTGGTTCTAGCTGTTTCATACACATCAAAAAAAAAAAAAAGTTGCCGCTGAATTTTCTCACCTGTCAACATCTTTGCTCATCTTACATACTGTTCCCCTTATCTACCTTGAGATCCTCCCTTTTTCTTATTACTCTCTCCATTGTTTAGCTGTGTTCCCCATTATCATCTGATGTACTCCTTTGGTTATAGCATTTATGACATATTTTATATTATGTCATGATTATTTACTTTAGACCTAAGTCTTCAAGGTCAGAGCAGTGTCTTGTTCATGTGTATAACTTCAGTACAGGTCAGACTCTCAGTAAATGTTGGCGTGGATGGAACTGTCCCTGATCTGGGTGACAACAAACATCAGGACAGAACAGTCAGTGGAAAAATTGTGGAAATGCAAGGTGTCAGTAACTCAGCAGGGTGTTTGGAGTAAAATGGTTCCTTGGGCTGTGCCACTTATTTCTCCCCCAACCTCAGGTTTGTGAACCTTATCTCTGAGAGGAAGACAAAGTTTCCCAAGCTCCCCCTCAAGTGTCTGGCTCAGGAGGTGCGTATGATAAAGTGCTTGCTTGATTCTCTCTCTCCAATTGGGCTTACTAAATGGGGCATGAGGGTAAATGTGGGCACACAGTCATACTAGCTCATCCCATCACTACCAGCTAAGCCCAGCAAGAATCCCAGAGCCTCAGCTTCCAGATTGAAAGAAGCAGAATTTCTCCCTTGCTCATTACTGGTATCTCAGAGGACTTGACCTTCCCAGCTTGCTGGGAGTAGCCCAGTGAAGCTGAGGAGCCTGAATATACCACTGGGTGGGGCCAGGAACAAGGTAGCAGTCACAGCACCTACCCTCCGAGCACTAACAGTCAGAGAGAGGAGACAGCTCAGCCAAGCAGCCTGAAAATACCAGACATTTCTGCCCTGAGTGAGTATGTGAAGTGTGCAGAGGCCCAGAGGGCAGGCATGTTCTCAGTCATTGGCACTTCCTTGAGGAGGTTTGAGAGAAGGCAGAGGTAAAGGGTACCCAAGGAAGAGGGACAAAGCAGAAGGAGTCTGGAGAAGGTGATCTCTTTGTTGGAGGATGGTGGTCAGTGGTTGGGGGAGGTGATTTTTAAGGCCACCTCAACAGACCAGTAAAAAAATCAGGAGACTTGGTTTTTTATTTAGGCTCTGCTTCTAAGACTGGAATCTTCTCTCAGAACCTCAGTTTCTGTAGCTGTAAAATGGAGGTGGGGTTGGTCGGGATAATTAATCTCTAGGTCTCTTCCAGCTTTAATATTTTATAATTTCCATACTCACACTCTTCCCTATAATCAGGTGAACATTCCAGATTGGATCGTTGAACTTCGCCATGAGTTGACCCACAAGAAAATGCCCCATATAAATGACTGCCGCCGAGGTGAGTCAGCAGGGGGTATACTGTAATTAAGCCTGGGGCCTGGGCTGGGTGGCACTGGGGGTAGAGGGATAAGGAGGAGGGTCTCCACCTGGGGTCAGGGCCAAGACTAGGGTGAGACAAGTGAGATGCTTGCCTTGGGCACAACATTTAAGGGGGGAGGGTCAAAAGTTCAGTAATCAAGATAAGTAACATTTTAATGTGGAAAAATCCATGGTGATCAAAATATCAAAATTTTAAATAAAGCAGGATTAGCATTACTGATTTCTTTTTTTGCTTCAGGCTCCAACATGGCTTGGCAGGGCACTGTTTTGATCCTGTTGCGATACCTTAACTAGAAGTTTTTGGTCTCCCTTTAAGTTTTGTGCCTGAGGTAGTGCCTCATTAGCTTCACCCACCTCATCCTAGTGGGGGAGGGGGATGGGTTGAGAGGCATGCTCAGTCAAAAGTGTCATGAACCCAGGAGTTCTTTGGACACTCACCCCATCTGAATTAGGAATCCCTGATTTAGTCTTACCCTTTATGATGAGATCTAGAAAAGGAAAGAGACTTGGCCAAGGCCATGTAACTAGCTAGTAAGGCTGGCTCCCAGTTCTCCCACTTACTAGCCCTTGCTGTTTTTAGCATCCCGTCTCTAAGTCCAGTGTTAGGTTTTTTTTTTTTTCTTTCTAGGAAAGGTGCTGGTAAGCAAGAGAAAGCAAAGAACAAGGGTATAACCCAGAGTGAGAAGAGAGGCTACTTTTGGATATTTGAGATTTGAGTTTTGGAGCCAAGCCTCTCCCCTGGGGCCTTCCTGTAATGTTCCCAAGATGATGCTGGAGACTTGGTAGCTGTTTGCCTGCAGTGAGTCCTATGACACTGCTTGCTTCCCCTTTTCTAGGCTGCTACTTTGTCCTGGATTGGCTCCAGAAGACCTACTGGTGCCGCCAACTGGAGAATAGCCTGAGAGAGACCTGGGAATTGGAGGAGGACAGGGAAGAGACGGATGAAGAGGACCAAGAGGAAGATAAGAAAATTGTTGTTGATGATGTCACAGAACAGAAACCAGAGCCTCAGGACTGTGGGAAATGTGGAGAGTCAGATGTCAGGGCTGATGGAGACAGCAAAGGCAGCGAAGAGCTGGATTCTCATTGCCAAAAGGCTCTGAGACATAAAGAACTATATGGTAGGTGTTTTTTGGGGGACAGAGAGGTGCTCACAAGCCCAGAAGGCTCAGGCTTAGAATTAGCACTGGTTATTTCCCGTGTTTGGCATTTCATCTGTGGCTGTGGTAAGTAGGTCCTAGCTTAAAAAATTACTGTCATAAACCGTCTTCCTAGCTAGCTTCTGTAGTCACATGAGGCTATCACAAACCATCTTTCTTGAGCCCAGTGAAGTAGTAGGAGAAGGAATTCTAATTCCCAATTTACAACTCAAGACATGAAGTGAGAGGGGCCCAGAATCCCAGTAGGAGCAGTGGTCTGGGCTGGCAATCCTATCTGTCTCCCCATTCTGTTTTCAGAAAGAGCCCGAGAACTGCTGGTGTCCTATGAAGAGGAACAGTTTAAGGTAAGAAAGTGTCCTTGACTTGGTGTGCTGTCATATGCATCAGCCATTTCTTCCCTCCTGCCAGTTACCCAAGAGAAGTCTTGAGAAGGAATTTGAAAGAAAAGTGGCAAAGCGTGAGGGAACATCTTAGAAAGACAGTGGGGGAAACTAGGAAGGAGACAAGAGGAACAGAGTCCAATTGGCAGATCTTCCACACCGTCCAACAGGAGCAGATGATGAAGTTTGTGGATAATCTGCTCCACTGTAGGAAACAACTGGGAATGGGTACTTGCACAGCCCTGCAATTCCACAGCGGACCAGCAGTTGGGGCCCAAGAGCTTTCCTAGATGGGCCCAAGGGGTGCTGTCTTAGTAGGAAAGAAGGTAGCTCAGATACCATTTAGCTCAACCCTCCCCTTTTCACAGATGAAGAAATTGAAGCCATAGATGAGTGAAGGGACAGGCCCAAGGTGACATATACAGTAAATGATAGAACCAGGATTAGAACCTGGGTCTCCCAATTCTCTTTCTTCTATTACCCATTGTCTTCCCTCACCCCTTTTCCCATGGCCCAAGAGTCTCTGCCATCTCCAATCAAATGCTCCCATTGGAAATCTCAGTATTTACTCATAGGAAATTCAGTGAGTGAAGGGAGGGAGGAGGAAAGAAAGTCTGGCATTTGAGGATCAAGTTATTTTTAGTTGCAGGGGCAATATGGGAGTTGTGGGCTCATCCCTACAGGCCCTTCCCTAACCCCTGCGGGCAGTGCTGAAAGGTCCTATGGGAAGGAATTCTGAAGGGGTAGGGGTGAGTTACCTGGCAGAATCAGCCTTCTGATGGGACCCTCTTTGCTGGCAGGTGCTGGAGAAATTTAGGCATTTACCTCAGGCCATTAAGGCATGGAATAACTCGTCCCCACGTGTAGAATGCATCCTGGCAGAGCTCAAAGGCATTACATGGGAGAACAGGTGTGTAACTAGGTAACTAGGGGCGGTATATTCTCTAAGGTAGAGGGTAGCAGCCTCATTAAATTGGTTTCTATATCCTAGCTTGTCAACCTCTGCTGTACAAAATATCAGGGGTAATCCTGGCCCTACACACAGTAACCCTGTATTCGACACAACTCCTCTGCTCCTAGCCCTGCTGGCTATCAGGTGGGGGTTTCCTATTTTGAGTCTCTACAGTGGCCAGAGGCAGGAATGTCCACTGTCATCCATCCCCTGGCCAGCTTTGTTTCTTTCTGTCAGGTGGGACTTGGAGCTCTTGACAGCTGAGAGAAACCCTTGATCCTTACCATCTCACTGCCTAGCTAGCCCTTGTCCAAGTTTGAAGTGAAAGATATATGGTGGTCATTGCTAGTCTTTTGATCTGCTGTTAGAGGGTATCAGCATCCCTTGGATAGTCATGGTTAGGAGGACAGAGGAGGGGCCTTCTCGGGGCCCCTAAAAAAAGCTTTTTCTCCCTCTCTATGGCCGTGGGCTTTTTTTTCCCTACAAATAATGCTCAGCTCAGTCTATAGCAGACAAATAGTATCTCTCTACTCATTCTTCTTTCTCCTACCTAGCTCTGGGGGTGGGGGAAAGCTTTCTACCTAAATTCATCTAGAAAGGGCTTTGGGGAATTTTCCATTAAGAACCTGTGGAGACAATGCTAGACCTTCCTTGCTAGAAAGAGATTGGAAGGAATCTGTAATGTTATATAGAGTGTAGATAGGTGGTGTAGGTGTCAGAGTGGGCCTGCAGTGTAGGCTGGGATTGCTCCTGGACTCTTCTCTTCATTCCCAGCATACTAGTTCCAAAGGTATTTTATCAGTGTCTGTCCAGCCTAGGCTTTTTGGCTCTACCCCTAGGCAAAAGAATGGGTGATGGCCCCCTTAGCAGCTAGGAAAACTATCCTTGTGGCCCTACACTGTAGTGTCTGCCTGGTAGGGCTGAGCAGACAGCTGGTTGTCTGCTTTAAATATTCTTGGATGCTGACTCAAGGAGATGGATGGGAGGGCAACTATTTTTTCTCCAGCCTGGTCTGTTGGAGGGAGCGTTCTGAGTATGTCGACCCTCCAGGCATTGGGGCACCTTGGAGCTCTTTTTCCCTGTCTAGACCTGGTCAGCTAAGAGAGTGTCTATAAAGAAAGGAGACTTGTTTGACTCATGGTTCTGCAGGCTGTACGAGAGGCATGGCACCAGCATCTGCTTCTATTGAGAGCTTCAGGCTATTTCCACTCATGGCAGAAAGTGATAGGGAGCTGGTGTATGCAGAGCTCAAATAGCGAGAAAGGAAGGAAAACGGGGAGGTGCCAGGCTCTTTTAAACAGTCCGCTCTTGTGGGAACTAATAGAGTGAGAATTCATGACGGTGAGGTTGATAACAAGCCATTAATGAGGGATCCATCCTTATGACCCAAACACCTCCCGTTAGGTCCCACTCCCAACATTGGGGATCTCATTTCAACATGAGATTTGAAGAGGATAAATATCCGAACTATGGCAGAGAGCCTTTTGGGGAGCTGCTAGCTCTGGAGGAATCAGCTTGCTGTTGCTAGTGTTGGTTTGAGCTAGATAGGGATGAGAGATTACCCCTATAGCCCACTCTTGCAAACCCTCTAACTTTTTTCTGGGTTCTTAGAATCCCTAGTAATAAGGCCTATGGATCATATTTGGTCCAGCAATTGAGGTCCCCAGGGTTTCTACTTTTAAAATCTAAAGGCAGTCAGGAAGAAGGAGAAGGGTAGGGGACTGGAGAATGGTCAAGAGAAACAAAAAGACCGTGCAGGAACTGAAGTCTAAAAGACCCCATGATCCTAGGCATTTAACTCCTTCCTCTCTAGACCTAGGACTTTTCTCTATTTGTGTTTTGAGGCTTGTTCAGTTGCTACTGCACTCATTATAGGCCTTTGATCAGCATGTGCTTTGTAAATGTGTTTTTAAAATCCACTGATCCTAGCTTTTGGCCCAGCTCCTGCCCCAGGACCCTGAAGCCTAAGATCCAACTGTCAAGTATCTTCCTCCCCACTCCTACTTACCTACCCGCCTGCCCCTGCCCCTGTGCTTTTTGGCCACTGGAGCCAAAGACATTAGTTGCCTTGGGGGTGGGTGAGGGAGTAAGAAAGTGTCTTTGCCAGTTTTAGTTTAGTAAACTAGTTTTCTCTTGTTCCAGGGAGGCTGTGCTGGATGCTTTTCTGGATGATGGCTTTCTCGTTCCCACATTTGAGCAGTTGGCAGCTTTGCAGATAGACTATGAAGGTAGGGTCCTAGGAGCTCACTGCAGTCTTGGGGTTCTGTTTTCTGGGCAGGAATACCAGGGGTGGACTGGGAGGCTCTAGGCTCGAGGGCAAAGTCTGTTTCCTGCTATTCCATGGCCTCCAGAACCCCTCAGCCATCCTGGCTGAGGAGAACAGGTAGCCCTACTAATATGTAGTTGTGGGCCTATCCTTAGGTGATCCGGAATTGGGTGGGGGGAGGTTGGGGGAGGGAATCTTAATGCCATTATTGTACCATGTTAATTGTGATTTAGTCACTAGCTAGAGAGCTAGAACAGTAGAACTGGAAGGGCCTTGTGAGGTCATCTAGTCCAACATCCTCATGTTACAGATGATCAGACTGAGGTCCAGAGAGGGGAAAGTACTGGCCCAAAGTCACACAGTGAGTTATTGACAAAGCTGAAGCTAGAACCAGAACTCTTTTTCGTTTGTACATTATTTTGAGTCAGTTGTTGGTTGCCAGATACTAACTGGTTTCTTTTTCCCTGCTGTTCTGCTTTTCTCTTTCCTTCTGTTCTGCGGTGGCAACTCTTTTGTTGTTGGGGCTGGCTTGCGCGCGCACACACATTTTCTCTCTTTCTCCGTTTCTCTCTCTCTCTCTCTGTCTCGCTCTCGCTCTCTCTTTGCTCTCTCTCTTGCTGTCTCCTTCCCATTGCCCCTCCCCCAATGGGTGTCCCTTACAAACCAGAAAACGTGGACTTGAATGACATCTTGGTGCCAAAGCCGTTCTCTCAGTTCTGGCAGCCCCTGCTTAGGGGCCTGCACTCCCAGACCTTCACGCAGGCCCTGCTGGAGAGGATGCTCTCTGAGCTGCCAGCTTTGGGGGACAGCGGGATCCGGCCCACCTACATCCTCAGATGGACCGTTGAACTGATCGTGGCCAACACCAAGACTGGTGAGGGAGACTAGTCGTAGCCTCAGGGCTGAAGGCAGCCCAGGCAGGAGCTTCTGCCACTGTCCTCAGCTGTTTGCTAAGAAGCACCAGGCAAACACCTCCTTTGTTAAAGGTTTAGGTTTGCCCAAGAGGGCCCCACGGCAGCAGTGGACAAATCTCCCTCTTCCTTTTCTTCTCAGAGCCAAGTCAGGGCTGGGGCAAAGTGCCCTGAATGCTTTGAGCAGTTGGGAGGTATAGGTAGGAAGTCTGGGGAGATGGGGAGGGACAGAGCCAAACTTTCTGAGGTGAAATGTTGGGTGGGGGGCTCACTGGTTCCTTTTTCTTAGGCCCTCTCTTCTCTCTCAGGACGGAATGCTCGCCGATTTTCTGCAAGCCAGTGGGAAGCAAGAAGGAGCTGGAGGCTGTTCAATTGCTCCATCTCCCTTGACTGGCCCCAGGTGGTTGAGTCCTGCTTAGGCTCACCTTGCTGGGCCACCCCCCAACTCCTTCAGCTGTAAGTCCCTTGAATTCCATCTGGTAAGAGAGTGAGACCCTGCAAGCCTCAGAGCCACATAGCCCTAGAAAGACCGAGTTGGAAGGGCCCTTTTCAAGACAATCTAGCCCAGTCCCTCTCCCGTTGACAAATGGGAGAACTGAGTCCAGAGAAGGAATGGGTAGGGTACTACTTGCCTAAGGTCGTATAGCTTAAGACCCAGCTGAACTGAGTCCAGCATGAGAATGGATGAGACAGTTCCCCTAGAGTGCTTAGCACAGTGGCCTGCACAGAGTAAGTGCACAGTAAATGGTAGCTGCTGTTTATAATTGAACTCAGGTCTTCTGACTCCAAGCCCAGTACTGTCTTCTCTATTATCTTCCCAAAGTATTCCTCAGATAATCGCTCAGCAACCTTCAGTTGCTCCCTCTTGCCTTCCTGGTGAAATCTAGACTTCTTAGCCTGACATTCAAAAATCTTTCTAACTCTGACCCAACCTATCATTGGTGCCCATACTTCCTGTGAGTCTCCTTTACCCAATCCATCCTGGGTTCCATGGTCAAATTTAATATTGCACTGATCTGGTAAATACCTTTTGTTTTTTCCCTTCCCTTTTCTCTGTCATTTCCTGACACTGAGCCATTTCCCCTCATACTCATGGAAGCCTTTAGCACTTGGTTATTTTCCTGCTTTCTGGAGCAGTATGTGTTTCATTTGGGTGACCCACCTGACACTCCTCAGCTCCCTAGCTCCAATGACTTTCATTCTGTACTGTACTAAGCAGCCTGTTTGCATCACTCAGAGCTGTTTGACCTCTGAAAGCTGATATCCCAGCATCCCACTGGGTGACCACCACCTCTTGTCCTTGCTTTTACCCTAGCACCTCATAATATCTGCTCTTTGCCTGCATCCAGACCTCCATCTCTTCATTTCATACCTCCCTTGACCTTGCTTCTCCTTGGCCCTGTCTGGTTGATCACTTTAGCCACTCATCAGCAACCACAGTTTTGTCCATCCTTTGGCCATATCTGACTTGCAAATCTCCAACCTGGGATTGACCTATTCTGCTTCCCCTCCTCCTCAGCCCAAGTAACTGAACTCTGCTGGAGAAAACAATATAGCCTTGCAGGTTGCTGCCACTGCAGAGGTGTGATTTTTTAATCTCAGGCCAGTCCTCAGTTCTGCTTTTCTGAATTCTTACTTGTCTTCTGACCACTTTCTCCTCACAATTCTAAACCCTTACCAGTCACCTCAAGCCACTCCCACTCCTCCATTTCTCCCAGCTTTCTTGAGCACATGGAAGCAACATCCAGCAGAGCCTCCTCAACCTGAGGTCCAGCCCTTGTGAACTGATCTGTAGCTTCACTCAACCTCCTTGCCAGTCTCAAGGATGGGGTGGCCTTGCCCCACCTCAAAGCCTGCTTTTCCACCTGTGCTGTGGAGCCACATCTGCCAGCATTGTTGAGGCTTCACCCCAGCCTCTTCCTTGCTCTGCTGGGCTTTGATCTTCAACTTATGAATGTGCCTTAGTTTTTCTCATCTTAGAACAAAACAACAATAATAGCAAAATCTCCTTTGACCCTGCATCACTCTGTTGGGTTATCACCAGTTTATCACTGCCTACCCTGTCATCAAAACACCTCAAAAGAATAATCTACATTCAGCACTCTAATTTTCTTCACTCCCCTCTTACTCTTCAATCTTCTATAATTTGACATTCACCCTCAGAGTTGCTTTGATCTCTTTATTACCAAATCCAGTGGGCCCTGTCAGTCTCTGTGTCTTCTGCATTGCTGCTATTTACCACTGCCTCCTGGAAATGCCTGTGTTTATTACTAGTTTCTATAAAGTGCTGAGGCCCAAATCTCTTTTATCTAGCCAAGGCCTTTCCCCCCAAGATTCAGCCTCTTATACTTGATTGCATGTTGGACATCTCCCCTTGGATGTCTCACAGGCATCTTACTGTGACCAAAAGAGAATTGGTCATCTTATTCCCCACCTCAACTTCTACGTGGTCTTCCTCCTCTTCCCTGTCTCACTCGGTGGCAGCACCATCTACTCTCTCTTGTTGACTCATGAATACTTCCCAAATCTGAGGTTTTGTGTTGCCATGTCTACTTCCCCTAGAGTTCCCCTCTGTCAGAGTAAGCTTTTCAAGAGCAATGATTCTGTATTAGCTGTCTGTGCCCTATCCCACTATATAAATCCAGGCATCAAACAGGCCCCACTAAACACCACTGAACTGAACTGTGCTCTGCTGTCTTATTGCCAGCAGTGCAGTTCTTGGGAGCTGATCCTGTGCCTGAGGAATGAATGGAGTAGAAGTCTGGATGCCTCTATTGAGTCTAAAAGTCTTGCTTAAACCCTGCTGGCATTTAGGGCACAGAGGTATTTATAAGATTAAAAAGAGGTACTTTAAGATTAAAAAAAAAGGTGACCTTGTAGACAAAGTCAGCCAAAGCAAGACCTCCAGGGATGGGACTGAATCAAATGGTCACATAAACAGATGTGTGCATTCTAGACTAGAAGTGACATGGGTTTGTGTAAAACTGGGAGGAGAACCAAAAGGGCCTGGAGGAGTCAGGAAGAGCATCAGAGAGGAAGTATTTGAACAATTCAAGCTGCAGAAAGACTAAAGGAAGATTCCAAGTCCAGAAGGAACATGGCATGTGTGTGTAATGGGGGGAAGGGAGTGACAAGAGCAGCATGGAGAGATTTGGATAGGTGGCCTTCAAGGTACTTTCTAATCCTAAGTACCTGCAGAGTGAAAGCTACTGGTCTCGGGGAAGTCTGGACCACAGAGATCTCCCAACCCAAGTGTACCAGAGGGATGCGACACATTCCAGCAGTAACAGCAGTTCATTTGGGTATGATTTCTTGTGCACAGACCTTTCCTTTCCTGAATAATCACTGAATCTAGTCCTAATCACTCCGTAGCACAGAGTGAGAAACAGGGCATTTGCCCATGTATTATGCTGCAAATCAGTAGCAAATCTGCAAGTCAGAGCTGAGGCCAGAATCCAGATAGCCTGTCCTTAGTCCCATGCTCTTTTGTAATGCTCCATGAGGTTGTGCTATTGCAGAAAGCTTCTGTTATTAGATGCATACAGATTTTGGCTTTTGTTTTCCCTGGAGGGCAGAAGAAAAAGGTACCACTGGCAATTAGGTGTCAGGCATGGTGCTGTGCTTTTTCGGAGAGATTATTTCATTTAATTTGACATAGAAATCTTGGGAGGTGGAGGTATTATACCCTTATTTGACAGATAAGCTTTTTAGGCTCTGAGGAGTGGCATGACTTACCCAAAAGGCATATGGTTTGTTGACATTGGATGGCGGGGGTAGGAATCTGGGCCAGGTGGTGCAAGTCCAAAATCTACCTTCATTCCATCAGCCTGAATCTGTGAGCTTCTTAGTCCCAAGCTGTGACCAGGCATACCCCAGGAAGGGGATTTATTTTAAGATTTATATCACCCCTGCACCTTAGTGGTCAGAGTAGACAGCATGAGACAGCAAGTGGGTAATAATAAACTGGTGATAAGGCATCTTGCCAGTATCAAGTGCCTGGGAATATTTATTATTAATCACACTAATGGATCATTGTGAGAAGGCAAAGAGTTTCTATCTGGCTTTTCCTCTGATACAGCTGGAAGTTTTTCGAGAGCTCTCCCCAGCCGGCCAATATCAATTTAATTTGAGCGAGTGTCCTCTTGGAATGAAATTAGCCCTTCAGAGAAGGTTTCCCAGTCTTCCAATTGAGTTACTGGCCCTCAGCCCTGCCTCCACCAACTGACCAGGGATCATGCATACATGACCAGTCTGCATGTGACCGGAGAGAAAATAGTCCGCTGAGTTTATGTCCCCTCTGCGAACCACCCATGGTTCCAACTCATTACACCTAGAAGGGAACTGTCCATCCCTCCACCTCTCCCATGTGTCCGGCAGTGACTAGATGCTTGTTAGGTGCCCATTTCTACATGAGACAGTGTGAGGGGTGCTCGCCTTCTTGCTTCCCTGGAGCTCTCCTTCCCAGCGGCTCTACCTGTTGGTAATTATGCTGTTAGCTCCGTCTTTTGTGTGCACCGTGTCATCATCTTTAACTCTCCTCTGCCTGGCCTTTGCCATCGGTCACCAAGCTCTGCTGTCTGTGTCTGTATGTCCTTCACAGCTACTGTCCCTCCCATCTCCACTGCCAGTGCCTGAGGTCAGCCCTCCCTGACTCTGGCTTGAACTGTGAGAACAGGTTCTTCCCTGGTCTCCCTGCCTCCAGGCTGCCATGTCCAGGCCAGCCTTCCCAGGGCCAGCTGCCACACGGTGATCTTCAGAAATGTAGTCTCCACCTGTGCAGAGAGTTGGCAGGTAACCCACCCCCCCACACGCACCCAACACACACACACGCGCGCGCGCACACACACACACACACACACACACACTCACACTCACATTCACACACTCTCACACACTCTTACCTTCCCAGCCTTCTCTTCCTCCCACAGCTCCTCAGCACAGGCTGTGCCCTCTAGCTGGGCTACTCACCACACACAGCACCACAGTGTGCTGGCTCTTGCCTCTGGGCCTCCTGTGCCATACCTCCTGCACAAAGCCCTCCCTTGTGTCCTCCTTGTGCTCTCCGCCTCTCCCAGCCCCACAGTGCCCACAGTAGGTCCACAGTGCTCAGCTGGCCTTTCTCCCACATCCTGCTTTGCCTTGTCAGCCACTGCTTTTTTTTTTTCTTTTCCTTCACTCTAGCTGGGCTGTAGCTGCTCCTGTGAAGGGACCACACTTTGTGGTCCACACAGAAGGAGCCCAGCATACTTTCAGACATATCCTTGGAGTTCAGAACAGGTTGCTCAGCTAGGCCAGAGGAGAGAGGGCTTTGCCATTCTCATTTCCAGCCCTGCTGGCCTATTGACTGTTTTGTGTACTTGCATAGTATTTCAGTGTAGGCTAATAGCTATCATTTATTGCATGCCCACTATGTGCCAGGTACTGTGCCAGGCCTTCTATATGAGCTTTCTTATTTACTGTTCCCAACAACTTATTGCCCTCATTTTACTGAGAATGGAATTGAAGCACAGAGATGAACCAGAGCTTGTTCAGGGTCCATGGTCCTGGTTGTTTCTATGTTCTGTCTGCCCTACTGCCCTGCCTTTCAGAGGCAGGTCAGAGACCAAGTTTAAACCCTGGAGTATTGGGGTATGCAGTTGCTTAAGATTTTGAATTTTTCCTACCTTGTCCCTCCCTTTGCTCAGCATCTTCAAAGCCATGGGGCAGGTCCTGCCAGACAAGGAGCAGGAAAAGCTGCTGCGCATATGTTCCATTTATACCCAGAGTGGAGAAAACAGCTTGGTGCAGGAGGGCTCCCAGGCCTCCACCATTGGGAAGTCTCCATATACACTAGACAGCCTGTACTGGACCTTCAAACCAGCCAGCTCCAGCTTTGGGTCTGAAGGAAAGGTCCAGCAGCAGGAGGAGCAGGGTAGTATTAATGATGTCAAAGAAGAGGAGAAGCAGGAGAAAGAGGTCTTGCAAGACCAGGTGGAAGAGGAGGAAGAGGAGGATGAAGAAAATGATGACCAGGAGGAGGAAGAGGAGGAAGAAGAAGATGAAGATGATGACGAAGATGATGATGAAGATGATGAAGATGATGACGAAGATGATGAGGAAGATGACGAAGATGATGACGATGATGATGACGACGATGATGATGATGAAGACAGAATGGAAGTGGGACATTTCTCTGTGGGACAGGAGTCCCCCACTACTGAGAATGCCAGGGTCCTGGCCCAGAAAAGAGGAGCTTTGCAGGGCTCTGCGTGGCAGGTTAGCTCAGGTAAAAAGTCTGATACCCACTTTCTCCCCACACTAGATTTCTTCCCTCTCTGGATTGCTCTTAATGCTTCCCTTCACCCTTAGAAGAGATGAAAAGTAGCAGGAGGTAGTCAGTGTGAGGCAAGCCTGTGAGGCAGCCCAGTGCAAGGATGACAGCTGGCTTCCTTCCCCCTTAGGATGGAGCATGTAAGTACCAGGGAGCACAGTCAGGCTGCTGGCTGCTCCATATAGAGAACACATTCTGAGTGGATGGTGTGGGCAGTGAAAGTCAGGAGAAAGTGAGAAATAGGGAGTGTATATGTATATGGTTATGCAGATGTTTTTCACTTACAGTGAGATAGTATTTTTTTTAATTGAGTTTATTTATTTATTTATTTTTAAGTGAGAAAGCAGGATTTATTGAGGACAGAAAACTCCCACAGAAGGAGGGGACCTGAAGGGGTTGCCCCATTTTCTGTGTGTGTGTGTGTCTGCGCGTGCACACACGCACATGCACATACACACATGAATGCTGGGTAGTGGTGAGACAGAATTCTGCTGTGTGTGTTAGAAAGAAAGAACCCAGGGCATTAAGTCAGATACTGGAAATGAAATCAAAAGAGAGAATGAGTGCTGTGGTTTTTAGATGAGCAAACAAGTTAGTGAGACTAAAACTAAGAGGAAGGTACAGGGAGGGTTGATGATAGAAATCTGCTCCCCTGAGGGGGTGGTCTTTTGAGTATCTTGGTTTAGGTTAAAGAGCAAGAACTTTGAGGTAGGGAGACCTGAAAGGAATGTTGGAACAGTCTGTTGTGTTTGCATGGGCATATATGTGTGCATGCACACTAAAGGCAGGAGTATGGCCTGCATGCTGGATCCTGGGGAAAGGAGGGAGAACAGCTGTGCCTGGGTGTGAAGGGCTGGGGCATAAAGGCCACTGGTGTCAGGGGTGGGGGGATGTGTTTACTAACTGTGTGTGTGTGAGGGAGTGTGTGCCTATACCTGCTGGACAAACTGTAACAAAATGATAGGGAGGGGAATTGACACAGGCAGAATTTGTGTGTATGTGTGCATAAGTGTGAGAGAGAAAAGTAGGGGCATTGAAAGGAGAAAGTATGGTTAAGTGGACTGTAGTGCAGCTGTATGACCATACATGAGTGAGAGAAGTGGCAGCAATGAGGTGGGGATCTATGGAGGGGAGTGGGAACAGGCAGTTAGACAGCCATCCAGAGGTGGCCTGTGTGTCCATGCTGTCACTGAGGGGACATGTGCAAGGGTGGTAGGCTAAAAAGGCAGGGACATTGATGTAGACAGGGTTGGGAATGTTAGTGATGGGGGGATGACCAGGTCAGTGACAGAGCCATTGTGGGGAGTGCTCGAAGGTTTCTCTGTATCACAGGGCATTAAGATAGGCACAGCTTTCTGTAAGAGAACCAGGGAAAAGGGATACAGGCAGAGGAACAGCCCTTCCTGAGGGTCTTCTCTATGGGTTACATAAAAAGCTGGTCCGGGGTTGATACTTTACAGAATGCCAAGAGCATTATGACATGGAGAATTCTTTGAGTACCAACCAGGGAGATGCAGGAGGCCAGAAACAGAATCCACGTGGAGCTCACTAGTGAAGGCTTCATTTGAAGACATTGGATACACTTGTGTAAGATGGGGAGGTGGGGGGGGTTTAATATAATACTGTGTGGAAGATACCTAAATGATTGGACAGAGGGTGATGGGGGGGTGCCTGGCATGACTCATTCTAAAGTGCATGTGTGTGTTGGGGAGTGCAGATTGTGAATGTGGTGGAAAGGCTAGGACGTTAATACTTTCCTTCTCCCCTTTGCCATTTCTTTCTGTGTGTATGTGCACATGTGTGGGGAAGTAGGGACATGAAGAGTCCTGGTTTGTGAGCCAGTGAATGAGAAGTGTGGGAGGCAGGGAGTGAAACTGGGGATGTTCATTGGCTTGGTGTGTGTGCTTCCATGTTCGTACTTGGGTGGCTGTTAGGGGTGTGCAATGAGATAGCTTTTTCCTAGAAGAGGGGTGTTCTTTGTGCATCTGGAGACAAGAAGTTCTTGTGCAGGGAACAGGGGAGCATATCTCAGTTCACCCTGACGTGGGCATGGGTGTATGTGTGTCTCTCTTCAGGCATGGCCATTAAGAAAGGAGATAACATTCAAACGGGGGTGGGGGGGATGGGAACATTGTGTACTGATGTGTAGGAAATCCAGGTCATTCAGACATTTTGAAGTATTAGTGGGTTTGAGACTGGGGGTGCTGTGGGAATTCTGGGTCATCCAGACCTGTACGTGTGTGTGTGTGTGTATACACAAATGGGGAAATAGGGTGAGAGGTTGAGACAGTGATATAGCCAAACCTGAAGAAGATGTTGTCTGTGTGAGAACATGCCTGGGGAAGTGGGAGAAGAATAGAGAGGAACAGAACTGTTTGTAGTTGTGCGCATGTGAGTGTGTGTGTTTGTGTATAAACATATAGAAGGGAAGAAGGGCCATAAAGAATGTGTGGTGGAGTGCTTGAGTGGAGAGGAGCTCAAGAGAAGTGATACAGAGAAGTGAGGCCAGAGATCCCCAGAGATCCCACCTGTGCTGAGTGGGCTGAATGGGGTGGGTGGATAGTCAGGTTGGGTGGGCCTGTGCGCCAGTCAGAGAACCATCTCATCAGCCCACTCTTGCCACTTCCTTTTGCTCCACAGAAGATGTGCGATGGGATACATGCCCCCTAGGCCGAATGCCAGGTCAGACCGAGGACCCAGCAGAACTCATGCTGGAGAATTATGACACCATGTATCTTTTGGACCAACCTGTGCTAGAGCAGCGGCTGGAACCCCCAATGTGCAAGACTGGGTGAGTGCCCATGGCAGCAAGATTGTTCTCCCCTTTCTCTACCATCTGTGGGAGAAAGAGAAGGAGGCAAAGTGGGATGGGTGGTGGAGGTGGCTGTCCTCAGTCAGGGCCTTTAGTGAAGAATAAGTTCCATCCCTGGCTGGGCCCTTGCCAGGACTCCCTGCCTTTAGTGTGAGGAGGCAGTGAAGTAGCCACACAGAGCTGGTTTGGCACCCCTCTCAGATTGCATCCATCTTGTGCATGTGGGTGGATGTGTTTGTGTGTGTGTGTGGGTGGGGGGTGGCGGTGTGTGTCCATTTTGGGAGAAGGATCCAAAGCCTTCAACAGATTCTCTAATGAGTTCACCACTCCTAAAAGGTCAAGAACAGATGCTTTAATCCAGCTTTCTCATGTTCCTGAGGAGAAAACTGAGGCCCAGAAAAGGGAAAGGATTTGTCTAAAGTGCATAGAGTAGTCAGTAGGCCTCCTGCACTGTACAATGATCTTGGTAGCAAGGCCTACACAGGGCTACATGCTCTCCCTCGAAACTTGCCTCTGGATCACAGGCCTGGGAGCCTTCTGGTCACCAGGGAGCCAGGAACCAAGCAGCCCTTGCTGAGGGGCTGTGCTGGTAACACAAAGGAGCCCATCCAGAGGGCCTGTACATTCCGGAATGCTGGGCCGTTGTGACTGGAAAAATCCTGTGAGTACCAGAGAGAGACCCCCCTGCGGGCCCCTGGAATTAAGAATCTGTCCCTGTGATGCCTGCCCATGCCGTGGGACATGAGCCCTCTTCATCTGGGCATTCTGGGGGAGAGCTATAGAACTCAGGGGCCCCAGAAGCAGGCCAGACCCAAGGCAATGCCATAGACTCTGTCTGAGGTTAGGGGGCAGCAGGCCTCTTGGTGAGGAGAGGAAGCAGCTGGGGAAGCCATGGGGTATGTAGTTGGGAGTGGAGTTCACATGTCTCAAAGAGAAAGGCTCCCTGTCACCTCATCCCAACCAGTTTGACCTTGGGTAAGGCTGACTTGATAAGTACTAGGATAGCAAGGATGAAGTATGGGCAGTTCAATCAAGAAGGAAGCTTATTTCGCCCAACTCCCACACAAAGGGAGGCTTCTTCTACCCTTAAGAGGGGCATCAGACCGCTGTTCCTTGTCTCAGCTACACCCCTGACTTTGCTATGTGGCCTTGGGCAAGTCCTTTCTCATCTCTGCCTCATTTTCCTTGTCTGTAAGATTGTGGGTGATGGGAAGACATGGGACTAGATCATCTCTAAGCATTTTTTCGGCAGCAGTAGCGTAGCCATGGATCTTCCTGAGGGTAAGGATGATGGCTTTGCTCTCAGCTGTCACCCTCATCTAGTTGGAAGGACCTTTGACCTGCAGGAAGCAGGAGAGAAACAAGTGTTGTAAGCAGGGCCAGGGAGAGGGTGGGCAGAGCTACCATCCCTAGAACAATCGTGCAGTTGTGGGATGGGAGCTGAGCCTAGTTCTACAGCCCAGACCTAGCATTGGGCCCCTTAACTAACCTGTAGGTGTGGGAGGGATCCAGTCCAGAGTCCTCTGGGCCTCCAAGTTCCAGGGTCTTGGAAGGAGGCCCTGTTAAGGCAGCTACTTTCAATGTCTTCCTAGGGGAAGGGTGGTGCAGGGCCCTTTACTTGACCTCAATCTAAACAGCTCTACTTTAATTTGGTTTATGTACTGGGGCTGTGCATAAAGCTTCATTTAAAAAGTTTTCTCCCTTTCTCCCTCCCTTCCTCAGTTGAGGAGAGGGCAGAGCCACCTCTAGGGCTCATCTGAAGTCTTTTCTCAGGTTTGCTCCACTCTCTTTGTAAAGCCAGGCAGGAGTGTGGGCTGCTCCCCTTCCTCCCACCGACACACATGTCAAGCACTCTTGGCCCCTTTAGAGTCTAGAGTGGTCTCCTTCCCTGACTGACCTCCCACTCTCTCCTCAGCACCCTGGGCCTGAGCTGTGGTGTCAGCAGTGGCAACTGCAGCAACAGCAGCAACAGCAACTTCGAGGGCCTTCTCTGGAGCCAGGGACAGCTGCATGGGCTCAAAACTGGCTTGCAGCTCTTCTGATGCCAGCCCTGGTGCAAGTGTTCATCCACCCTGCCAGGGCAACAGCCCACCCTCCAGTGCACCTATTGCTCCCTGAGACAGCCTGTGAGATAACCTGGATCAGCCACATCAACTCAGCTTTCCACCACAGGGGAATTTTAAATGTCTTTTTTGTTTTGTTTTGAAAAACAATAAACAGGCAACTTTAGTTTTGGTGTTTGTGAGATTAAGAGGGTAGGTGCTGGGGTAGACTGATGTAGTGTTCTCTTTACTGTGGGGGATACAGAGAAGGTAAGATTGTAACAGGGCTTTGAGCAGGAGCTAGTTCCTGAGGCCCCTTGGACCCAATGGCCCTGATTGCTCCCACAACCAGGCTTTACCTGTACCTTCTCTGTCTGACTCCTCAAACCATTCCTGCTTCCTTCAGTAGTAATAAGGGGCCAGACCACTTGTAAGCATCAGGCCCCAGAGGAGAGGCAATGCTGGTCACAGAACCTAACCAGCAGCTGGGTGGTTTGCTTAGCGCCTTCCTGTTGTTACCCAGTACACTTCCTGCTTATCTCCCCACCTGCTCTTACTGTACACCAAACAGCAATTGAAAGCCAGAGAGAAGCTTTTCTTTGTCACTTACTTACTCTTTTGGCCTAGAAAAGAGAGAGAGAGCGTCCCTGTAGTGGACATTGTGGCCAGAGAAATATCTTAGAGACTGATCCAGAGCCCCTTCTCTAGTCACCCAATCCCCTCAGATACTCTTCTCATCTCAGCCCTGAGATGCCAAGAGACAAGGATGAATAAGCCATGTTTTCACCCCTCAGAGCCTTTAGCTTGGTGAAGGACAAACTCACCAGGTAACCTGATAACTTTACTAGCTGCTTTAAGGAATTTCTGTAAGTGGCTGTGTCAAGAAATGGTGAAAGGACGGAGAGCACTTATGTTAAGAAAATGCCAAGGAGGAATTTGGTAGAAATGCTGTGCCACAGCCCAATCAACAGTTTTAACATGAGTTAGGACCACTAGGGTGTCCACAAAATCTGAAAGGATATACTAAATATCTTTGTGGGTGTGTGTATATCATTTTCCTAGGGATTTTGTTCACAGCTTTTATCAGGTTGTCAAAGGATCCATTAGCCCAACAGGGCTCTTTTCTTGTGTGTACTCAGGCATTAGGCTTGGGCAAAGCAGTCTTGTGCACTGATTAATGCTTAGCTAATTTCCTTCCTACTCGTCCCTCTCCCCTACAATGGCAAGTCTGTCAGCATCCTGGAATGTCAGCTGGAAGAACCCTCACCCTCAAAGAGCATCTTGACCACATCTGGTGAATGGATTTGCCAACGTGTACTCTGGGAGATATTTCAGTGCCTCCTTTGTAGGGAGATGGGTGCCACAAACTCTGGGTTCCCCTCCACCACTTCAAAGAACAGCTGTGTATACTACTTTACTGTGTATATATTGGAATCACCCATAGGATTTCTTTTGAAAGATGGGTTTTGCTACTTAAAAAAAAAAGTTTGGAAATTATAGTTGTAGTCCAGCCCCCTCATATGCATTGAGACACTGAGGTAGACAAAAAGGAAAGGATTTGCCTAAGGACATAAAGCAAGTTAATTGGTATAGATTAGTGTTTTCCCACATCAGTATCACCTGGGTCTTTATTAAAAATACTGGATCCCACTCTTGACCTGAATCAGAAAGGTTGAGGTTGGCAGCAATCTATGGTTTAACAAGCCCTTGAGGTGATTCTGATGCACACTAAAGTTTGAGATGCACTGGTATAGTAGAAAAAGCTGCCCAAAGACCTGAGTTCCAGGCAAGTTCCACCACTTAATGGGAATGACCTTGGGCAAATCATGCCACAGTTTCTTAACTTGTAGAAGGAGTATAATATTTGCCTCACATGCTTGTTGTGAGGATCAAAACATAACATATGGAAGTACTGTCTGAAGTATATCATTCGTTGTAATTGTGAGTGGTAGAGTTTCATGCCAAGGTTGGTGAGCCTTGACTCAGGTATCCATCTAACCTAGGACAAAGTGCTTTCCCCTGGCCCTCAAAGATCTAAAGGTGAGGAGCAGTCTACCTGAGGTCATTTCTATTCCAGGTCCAGAGAGAGTAACAGCCAAGGGTCATTGTTGGCTGGAGTCCTCCTGAAATCTGGGAGTTGTGAGGCCAGGCTGAAGATTATGGGGGTGGGGGGCAGGGGTGTGGAGGGTGGAGCTGCCAGGAAGCAGCCTTAGCCCAGAGCCCTTGGACATTATTCTGATTCGAGATCAGAGACTGTTTAGAAAACATCTTTGAACTGCGCACATTTAACTGGAAAACAGGGATGGGAGTCAAGGGAAGGGAGCATAGATTGTATTATTATTCAACAACAGTAACTGAGAGGCCCCCTCTGGTAAGAGAATTCAATGATGAAGAACATGGCTCCTGTCTCCAAGGAACTTCCTGTTTTGTGGTGGACACTGTGCTAACATTATAACAAAGTGACAAGTACTAAGAGAGGTATTGTTCAATATTTCTGCAAGGTCCGCTGTAGAGGAACTAACAATGACTGAACCAGGAGATGAGACAGCTTGTTAATAGAGGTGACATTAGCACTGGGTCTTCAAAGGCAGGACTTAACTAGTCAGAACAAATGTAGAAGGTAGAAGGTAAATCAGTCACTGAAGGGATTGAGGAAGAGTCTAGTTGGGGGTCCAAGATAATTGGAACATGGTGATGTGAAGGACTTGGTAAGTAAGCCATGAAGCTGAAGATGTGATGTGGAAAGGGATAAGGCCAGACTAGTTGATTTTCTATCTGTGATTACAGCAGAAGCAGTGGACATTGAAATTCTAGTTGTTCCTACCACTCTCCCTACTCCCAGGCTGCCACTGCCCTCCTAGGAAGTCTTAATGTCTTAATTTAGTTTCTGTGCTCTATTCCCCTACTAGAGTGCAAATTCCCCAAGTCGAACTATTCCTTTCTTTTCTGTCTGCCTAGCCCAGTATAGATTAGGCCTCTATTTGGTATTCAGTGAGAACTTGATACACGTATGCCTGAGGAATGTGAAAGGAGGCAGAAAGAATAAAAGAGAAGAGGAAAAGAGTGGGAACAGATGAACACTCTTAGTTCCATGGAGGATCATAAAAGAAAAATAAGAGATTCTCACATTCACCAATAGTGTCTTCCAAAGGCTGCAGCCATTACAGCTACCTCTACCTTTACAATGAGATGACACCACTGTGATAAAGGGCTTAGTGGCCTAGGAGTCATAAGGCCTGCTTCCAATCCTGCCTTTGCCACTAATTCTATTTGGTCTTTTTTGGTCAAAACTCTTCCCGCACTATAACCTGAAGGTATTAATGTACTCCCTGATTGTGAAATGTAGGGTGCTAGGCCCCTTCTGGCCCTGATATTCTGACTAAGACACAGCAGAGGATATTTCTGTGACCCTGAGACTATGTTCAGGGGAGAAACTACAGGCTGTGCACAGAAATTAAGTCTGGACCCTGAGCCTGCCACCTGATTCTGACCCACTGGTGGAGGCCCAGCCCTGCTCTGTAGGGAACACTAGTTTGACTAGTACTTAGAGTTGTGTTAGTCTTCAAAAATTAGAAAGTATACACTAGGGGTGCCAAAAATATGTACACATTTTAAGTGATGTTTGCCATAATCAGAAGTGTCTGGATGCTGATGGTAACCCCTTTGAGAACCTTTTGTAATTGCAGAAATCAAGTGTGATTTGCATTCATCTTGTTGAATATTACAATTTTAATACAGCTTTTTCATTTCTTAAAATGTGCATACAGTTTTGGTACCCTCTATATACTTACTGTGATAAAATTCAGCTGAACTCCTTTGGAGCGATTCCTACCCTTATTCATAGTTTATCTCAAGATGAAATTTGTGAGGACAAATTTAATATTTTAGGAGCAAACTGGAGTATGTGTATATGTATGTGGTATGGCTTTTGTTGTTGATGTTCTTAAAGAAACAGACATGAGTGGTTAGTAGACAAATAGTTTATGCAATAAATTGTGGTTACAGTTCAATGTCAGCAATACATCATTTTCCATCACAAGTATAGATAAAACAAATTAAAACCTCATGAAGTAGTCATAGCACATTCATGCTAGTGAGAACATATTATAAAGCATTGCACATGCATTATCGGGGCAGACAAAACTGGGGAAAGCTATATTTTCACTCACCTCCAGTTAGCTTCATGTGTTTTGTCATTGAGACTTACATTATATTTGGGTCAGACAAAAAACCCAAAGAGGTTTTATAAAAGTTTACAACCATTAAACAGTATTGTTTAATTCCACAAATGGATAAAGCCAACTACTATAGCTCAATGATACACAAACCAGGACTAAAAATAGTCAACCTGCCTATGTATATAGCTAGCTATAATACAATACATATTGAATATGCTGAGTCTTTACAAAGACTTTGACTACTTCAGACAAGCAGGTTCCAGAAATACACTGGTTTGGTTTCCAATGAGAACTAACTGTAGTGCTGTTTCGGTTGAAGACTATGCACTCCTCAGTATCAGTCCTGAGGAGAAGCAAACTAGGGGAAGGCAGAGAACGGTTAGGAGGAGACCTGAGCAGGGCTCTTTGGACAGCTCAGCATTACTTTCCTTGTGCAGACTCACACCTGGTTTACAGAGTAGAACAAAGTATTGAAATTGTTGGCCCCCCAAAAGGGCATTTGTACAAAGTCTCATACTTACAGCATAGACAGAATGCCTCTCAAGATGAACTCTTATATGTTAGAAGAAAACTCAATGCCAAAGGTTAATGGATAACAATATTTAAATTACTATATAAGGATAATTTATTCCAAAATAGAAAAAAAAGGAATTTTTAGAGAAGTGTGCTCCTGGAAACTAGCTCAGAGAGAGAGAGAGAGAGAGAGAGAGAGAGAGAGAGAGAGAGAGAGAGAGAGAATTATGTGTTTCATTACTTAGAAGAAGAAAAGTTTTTAGACCATTTCCATAAGGTATCTGTCATTTTCCCTTTCCTACCTGACTCCTTAGGAGAGCATGCAGTGGCTCAATGTCACCTTTGAAAAGGCTCTTTTTCCTTTGAGCTGTCTTACAAAAACGGTGCCCTGGATTGACCATACCACTCCAGGTCCACACTTCTCAGGTTGAAATGAAAATAACAAAAAGAAAAAAAATCACAAAAATCTAAGGCCTGAACAGATACAGACTTCCTATGAGATCAGAAAATCAGTGAAAGAATTCAAATTATAAAGCACCTCTTGCAAAATATACTGCATCTTGAAAACCACACAAAACACTGTGCAGTAACCCCTGTTGAGTGCTTGGAGGTAAGAATCCTGAAGGACACATGCTTAGCCCCATGAAGGAAGATTGATATCATCAAGGGAGCCAAGGGGGTCCCAATGCTTCTTTGTTATTTGCTGTTTTATAATTACAGACAAAATGGAAAGGTCAAGAAGTGTGCTGACCTCAATATAAAGAAAATGTTTCTCTAATAACTAAGAACCAAGCTGGATTTATGCACTCATAGTTGTAAAACTCCATTTATATATTCTTGCAGATGATTCACTAACACACTTTTTACACAAAATCCCTTTTGCAAGGACATAAATAGGCTACTAAGAACTTACACAATATAGTGCTTGAAATTGAACACATAATAGCTGTGTACCTCGTAATAAAGAGGCCTTGAAAAATTGTCTTTGTCTATAAACTACTACTGTCCTTTGGAAATAAAAACTCCCTCACAACCCCTGGATTACTTCCCTGTGACACATAGTGCCACAAACATTGTGGTGAAAACTCAGTACCAAACTTAGCATAAGATGAGTTTTGTACATTTGTTTCTATACAATCAGGAAAAAAAAGAGATACAATTTGTATCAACAAAAGGTCATTTCTGGTTATTTGAGGCATTGCTCCTAGCCGCTTTGGTTCATACACATTTTATGAGAGGAGAAGAGTGACAATTGTTTTTAGAAAATAAGAAATACATATGCTGCCTTTAAAAACAGTTCCTATATGGAAAGGAGCTTACAATTTTTTTGAGTACTAAATATAAACATGTTCAAGATGAATTGCAGCTGATAAGATTAATCTTCTGCTTCCCTGTAAATTGTGCAGCTAGTAGATACTGCGATGCCATTGATGATTTTGGTAGAATGATGAACTAACTGGCACAAAGGCATTAGAGTCATCTGAGATTGTCAAATACCCTGATTTAGACATGGGGCAGATTTAGAAAGTTCAAGAAGTTGAAGGTATGAAATGGTGTTTGTGTGAAATAGCAAGGACTGCAGTGGTAACTGTCACGCTCTATGGACCGACCTGATAGAAAATACATTTACACTTTTTCAATATGCTGGGGAATGGGAATGGGAAGATTGGATCTTAGGAGATAAATGTGAAGCTGTGGTTAACTGAAGAGAAACATTGGTTGAGATGCAGTATTGATCAATTTGGACAGAGACAGAAAGCCAGAAAGCAGCATGTAAGCCACTATCAAACCACCGGAAACAACCCAGACTACAGCCTCCCATTCAGAGTGTTTCATAGTAAGAAACATTTATGGGCGGTGCCACACCTTCTCATGAAGAAACAAAAGGCCAAGGCCAGGCCTCTACTTTCATAAAAAAATACCATAGAAGTTAGCAAGTTCCAGCTCAGAAAACAGTAAGCTGGTTATGGTTCAAAATGTTGACATCTACAATGGATTCAAAAAGGGGGTTCATTTAGTGTAGCTTAGAAAACAAAAACAAAAACAATACCTCTTCTGGAGGCATTTAGATACAAAGGTTCCCACCCTGAGCAAGATACAAGTTGCGCAAATGGTGCCACCCAACCAAAAAGTCTTACTTTTTTTTGGTAGCACATTTAAGAATTATCTAATGGCAAGTGCACCCTCTTTGCGTGGATTTGAAGTGCATAACTGAGCCAGCTATTAGCAAAGATGCAGCGTCTTTTTTGGAAGCTGCCTTTTTTTCCACCTAGAAAATCCCCTGGTTTTGATTTTGAAAGAAATTCAGCTCCACCAATGATTGACCTTATTGCCCAAAGGGTGGACAGCAGGAAAAAGTGGATTACATGGCTATGCACTGTCCTCCATTACATTTCATCTTGTGATGTTGAATACTGCATAGAAGTCCAAAGAGCATCCGATAGTCCCTCCTTGAGTGAAGCTTTTGCATCACTATTTAATGCCACCTGAGTTTGGCCATCTCTCCTGGAATAAGGGGAGTGAATTGTGGTAATAAGTCCCTTGGTCCTGGTCAAACTCTTCTGAACTTGTGTAGCACACACATGCTATGCTCCAAACTTGAGCTTAACCATCCGCTTCTCTGCAGAAGGCTGCAACCTGATCCCCAATTTTCTGTGGTGAAGAGACTTGGAAGCTAAGAACTGTTAATAAATGTTGGCAAGTAAAAAGCACAAAGGAAATGGAGAGGGTTTGCTCTGGTGCAGAAGAAAGCAGTGTTCAAATATTGGCATGTGGTTTCACTATTCAAAACTACGAAATGTGACATAAAATCATCAAGTCAGATTCATGATTTATACAGCTGTAGACTAAGGACTGTGTAGAGCCTACCTTCTCATCACTATATAAAAGGTTATACAGAGATACATGCACATCTCAAACCAAATATATACATTCATATATACATTCACACATGCAATATAATTGATAATAATAGGTTTGAAATGTAGCTTTAGAAGTTTCAGTGTGACCCTATAACTTGGTTAATAAAGAGATTGAATGATCAGATATCCATGCAATAAAGTATGCATTTACTTTTAAATAGCTTTAAAAATTCCTATTTAAAAAACCTGAAAGGTTAATTCAATATACAATCTGATCCTGATGCTTTTGCTCTCTAAATTGGATATATTATTCATACTTTGTAATATAGAATGTGTGGCTAAGAAAATGCTGGTAATGGAATCCCTTGGGGTTTCTTGCATTTAAACCTCTCCCCCTGGGTTTTATCCTCCATTACCTGCATGGTGCAGTGCAAAAGGGCATGGGACTTGGAGTCAGAGGACTTGGGTGTGCGTCTTGACTTGGTCATTTGCTAGCAGCATGACCTTGGCAAGTCACTTAATCTCACTGAGCTTCAGCTTCCTTTTCTATAAAAGAGGATGTTAGCAAGACCTACCTCACAGGACTGTTATGCGCTTAAATGATGTTAATACTCTGTAACTTGTAAAGCGCAACACAGATTATTAGTTATAGTAATAGTATTACTGTATGATTAGTATTAATACTCATATTTGTATAAAGAAATAAGTTCTATGTCATGTCAACGTGCAGCCCTAAGCTTAGCAACAATCAAGGCTGCCAGTTGTTGGGCATCTGCTGTGTGGGGATTCTTCTCCATCACTGCAAGGACGATGTTAGAAGGGAAAATATTGCAGAGATTCTTGTAGGTCTGATATTGGTGCTCTGGGATCATATGCTCCCTGGAATCATTGCACATTCCAACCCAAGGATTCCTCCAAAGCTGCTCCATCTTTTCAGGCACGCTTCGTACCATGACTGGCTCGTAACATGGTTGCATGAGGCTGTTACTCAAGGGATAGGAGTGGTAGCCATAGGAGTCGGTTGCACAGGGCAGCGGATCCCAGCTGGCATGCTGTTCCCGGCACAGAGGAGGTCGTCTTTGCCTCATGGGATTACTCTCATAGAGGCGGGAGTCAGAAACACTATCCATCCGAGTCATCACCAGGGCACGGCCTGGCTGGGGTGTTGCCCCAGGATGGATATTGGGAGGCATGGGGTAGTCTCCAGGACAGCTAGAACGTGCTCCAGTTGCTGGGTGCTGGGCATGCAGTGCTAAGTGGGAGACTGACTGCTTGTGGGGGGCTTGCTTAGAATCTTCTGGGCCATAACTCTGCACTCGTGTTAAGGCTTCATGGTAACCATGAGGAAAAGGCTGAAGACGGTTCTGAGATGCTGAGCGGTGCAGCTTTAAATTGCCTTCAGGAAGGGTATCAGCTACAGCCAAGTACAGGTTGTTGTAAGAGGAATAGTTGTCATTTCTGGTATGGCTCATACGGCTGTCAGGACAGAGGTTGGGATTCCGGGCATACACCCCCCGGTCTGCTTCAGCCATGTAGTACTCTCGATTATGCATGCTGTTGATATTTAATTTGGAGAAGTCGCCTAACATCGAATAGTAGCCATGGTCCCCCATAGACTCAAACTTTGGGTATTGCTCAGCATAGCTAATAGGGGTGCCATGGCTGTTGGTAACCAGAATGGGAGGGTACTGCATACTGGCCATATGTTCCAATGAGGCCTTCTGGTGGGGGAAATGGGAGGATACTGGCACTGGGCTACTAGCTGAACGGGTATTAAGTGCACTCACTGCATGGCTTTTTGGGGGTGGGATTGTGGGGACACTTAGGGCGGTCACAAGCGAGGGGACAGAGCTGGCCTCAGGCTTACGGGCAATAGACAGCCATTCCTCAGGCTCCACAGCCACGGACCGGATGCTGGGATCTGATTGGCGCTTGGGGGCCACACGTTTGACCTCTGAGGTTATCTCACCTTTGTCACAAGACATCCCTGTGCCACACTTGGCCAGGGTGCCTTCGCTCATGGTTTTCACTGTGGACAGTTTGGCACTGATGCGGAGCTCATCAGCCACCGAACGCTGGGGTTGGTTGGCCCGCTCCGGATGGTAGTATTTGCACTTGTGGCCGTAGGTGCATTTTTTGCCTGAAAAATAATGCCTTGGGGTAAGACTCTCTCTCATAGTGGTATAACCCTCTGTGCCAGAAGCTGTCATAACAATCTGGTCACTCAGGTTAGGGTTTTACTCTTTGGGGTTAAGGCAGAAAATGAATTGTCCACAAAGTTGAGAGACAGACAACACCAAGGAGGCATCACACACTGTGAGGGAGAGGCAGGAAGTGGAATGCTGGGGGAGGAAATTGCAGCATAAAAGCTAAGAGCTGAGCAGTTAAACAGCCTTAATCTTCTGGTAATGCACAACTTTGACTAGGCATAATCTGCATGCTGAGACAGCATAAAATAACAGAAGGCAGTATGGTGCAGTGCAAAAAGCAGAGGTTTGAAGGCCTGTCAGATCTGAGTTTCAACCAGCTATGTTCCTTACTACCAGTGTGACCTTGGTAAGTAAATTTGTTTTCTGAGCCTCATTTTCCTTTTCTGTAAACAAGGTTCATACTAATGCCTATATTATAGAGTCATTTAAAACATTAAATGAGACAATGAACATGAAGGTACTCTGTGATTTAAATGTTAATTGAGGACAAAACCCAAAATGCCCTATAAAAACAAACAATTATCCCCAAAGAACGAACATCCAAAGTAACCTCTGACCAAGCAGCCCATGTTGCACCATTAGGCTCACAAACTTTGTATCAGAGAGACTTGGGTAAGAGCACAGCAACATTCTAAAAACTATGTTTTTAAAAAGTTAATGAAAATGGAATTTGGAGGCAAACTGGAAAGTGCAGACTGAAAGAAAGGGTAGTATTAATTGACAGAGGGTTCAGTCACTTGCCCGAGAGACATGGTCTTCTTGGGGCCAAACCCAGTTTGGCATTGCTCTTTCTGCTTCCATAGGTCATGTAGGTTTTTGCATTTCCCTGCTCTCAGCAACACTGTTCAGGACTTAGGCAGCTAGAGTACATGCATTATTGTCACAAGTGACGACTAATCTTCCCTTCAATTCTAATTACCTTTTCCTCATGCAATTTCTAATATTTTTTTAAACACCTAACTGAGAGTACACGAAGACACAAACTTTAACTTACAGAAAGTGAACAAGCTAGGATTTCCCATTTGAAAGAGAAATCTGGAAGAGAAAAGTATTCACAGAGTCCTTATGTTTCCCTTAGTTCAGAACTCAGTTCTGTGCATAGGTACTCACCATAAGGACATGGTTGTTTCTTATGCTCTGGAACAACGGGTCTCTTTCTTAAAAAATTTTCAAGGCTTGGGCCATGGCGTCCTAAAGGGTCATCTGGAGGCATAAATCTGAAAGTAAGAAAGCAAGGGGTGAATGTCTTCCCTTCTGTCCCCACTACCCCTTACTAGGCATTTAGATCTTCAGTACCTCTTGCTTGTACTGTTTTCACAGGCTTCCTGCCTCAACTCTGTCTTCTGCTAATCCAGCAACTCTTCCCTTTACTTCCACTTGATAACATAGGATGGTATTCCCTGTGCATCATTCTTCCATTAGTTATGTGTTCCAGTTATACTGGCATGCCTGCTAGTTCCCCCAACATGCCACCCACTTTCACACCTTCACAGCTTTATTCATTATGTCTCCTCTACCTGTCATGTCTAGCAAGCCCCTTTCCTCTGTAAACTTCATTTCAAATGTCATCTTCTCTGGGAGGTCTTTTCCTATCACTTCACACAGACAAAGCAATTTAAAAAACTTTTTAATGTTAGTACTTATCAGAACACTTTGGTTGTGTTTCTTCTCCACTACACTTTGGGCCTCTAAAGGATAAGACCTGTTCCTTATTCAGCCTTTTATCTCCATGGCAATCAGCAGAATGTATGGTCCATAGTAAGTGTTCAGTCAATGTTTATTGAAATGAAAAGAAATGTATTCCTACTGATAACTTGGATATAAGCCTACTGGAAAGAAACGCACTTGTCATTCACAAAAGAATACATCAGCAACCGTTCCTCTATAAACTTCTTCCATTCTGGCTTTTCAACTTGAAGGTCTCGGTAGTTATCATTGGACACAATGATGCCATCAGAATCAAAAGCCAGTTTGACTATAAACCGGTCATCATAGCAGACAACCCTCCTGCCCTGGACTCTCCGAGATGGAGTGAAGACGAGAATCTTTTCCTTTTCCAGTTTACGTAGAATATCTTGATCTGTCAAAATATGATTATAAGCCATAGAGAAGACATCATTATTGGAAATTAACAACATTGCTACCATATTATAAATACAAAAGATGGTAGTAGAGAAAGATGTTATTTTCCTTTAGAGGGAAAATGGTCTCTATTTCTGACTATGAAACCAATCTAGATTGTGACCTTAGGCAAGTCATCATTCCTGTAGACTTCAGTTTTCTTTTTGATAAAATGAAAGAATTAGATTCAATGATGTCTACATTTTTAAAACTACCACGAAGAGTGAGGAATAACACTGATATCTTAGCATTCTTTTTTTAAAAGTTAGGGTCTCACTCTGTTGCCCAAGCTGGAGTGCAGTGGCACAATCACACAGCCTCCAACTCCTGGGCTAGAGCGATCCTTCTGGGTCAGCCTCCCATGTAGCTGGGACTACAGATGTGGGCCACCACACCTGGCTAATTTTTTGATTTTTTTTGTGGAGACAGGATCTTACTATGTTGCCCAGACTGGTCTCAAACTACTGGGCTCAAGTGATCCCCCACCTCGGCCTCCCAAAATGCTAGAATTATAGGCATGAGCCACTGCACCCGGCCTCTTAGCATTCTTGATGCTTGTTTTGCCCTTTGGCTGAAGCTCCAGCTTTTCAGCTGTTGAATAAAACGGAGCAGCACACTGAGGATGTGTCTGTCAGAAGGAAAGTAAAGTATTTATGCCTTCTACCTGAAGGTAGGCCAAAACTAAGAGTAAACATTAAGCTATAGCATCTGTACTGACTCCCTTTCTTTTTGGCTTCCTAATTGTGGGGGAGAGAAAGTTTACTGACTGATTTACTATCATATTGAGGCTTAAGAGCCTATTCAGCAGATGGTAAATAGTTCCACATACAACTCAGACAGCCATTCACTGGACTTTCTCATTAGGCACATCAGGTAAGAGTTGATACTCAGAGGACTGAGTCTGTATGTTTTCAAATGCTGTAAGAAGTATACACTTCATATACCATTGTAAGTGAAAGTAGCGAACCTACTGCCATTAGGACTGCATTATGACTTTTGTAGACCTTAAGCACTTTTGCTTTTATGGGCCCCTTCCTCCATAAAGAAATATTAAAAAATTAATTTCCCATCACAATGGTATAAAGTCAAATATAATCCAGTTAGATACATCATTATACATTCATTGCTATTATATTCAATTTTTTCTTCTGATGTGAAAATAAAATAAAATTAAGACATTTTTGTGAGATGTCAGCAGTATCACAATATCATTGGCCCTAGGAACCAGACCTACTGTGCCCCATGAATAAGTTGGCTTTGACTGCCATAGGACTTTTCTTTCTCTATATTCCACCCTCTAATTTGCAAATCCAACAATCGCTTCTTTGGTATAGAATGAGATCCATTGTCCATCACAGTGTCTTTAGTTTCTTGAAAAAGTCATGTTCATAACCAGATTAATCTCCCTTTATTCTGAAATCCGTGGTCAAATAGAAAAGCATTCCTTTTTTAATGTACTTAACTAAATTGAGACCATCCATGTTTCCCCAAGCTACCTTGCTAACTTTGCCTCTACATGAGAATAAATGTCTTATTTTAAATAGTACCTGTAATAGGTGCATCAGGGCGGGATTGTTCCTTTCTCCATGCAGGCACAAATACAGTAATATCTTTGTGGCCTTTATCTAGAAACCAATCCACAGCAAGTTGTATTCCTCTGCAGGAGAATTCTTCTTTATTTCCATGGCTTTAGGAAGATAGAGAATAAGAGGAGAGAACATTGACAATACATAGCAAAGAAATATTCAAAACAGGCTTTTTCTTAGTACCAGGGGATTAATGACATTGTCTTTCTTGATGCCAAATAATGTATTTTTTAAAGGAGCAAACAAAACTCTTTTAAATGAAATTTTTGCAAATATTGCCATAATTATTACAAACTTCATTCAAGGCCACACATGGTTAATAACAAATTACTAATTATTGCAGCCCTGGTGGCTACCTCCTATCACTAGTTCCATTTTCTCTCCTCTCTGTTTCCACTACCACCTTCTTTTCAAAAATTCAGATAATCTCAATAAATGAGAAAAGATTACAAGAAGTTTAGATAGTTTATATGGAGGATTAATTGGAGATAAATCTTAAGTACATATATTAAGCTTCAAAAAAATTGAAAAAAACAATGACAGCAAAAACACACACATAAATGCTGATAGAAAATGCTTATCATATATATCCATTTAATTTAATATAATGCACCCACAAAAAATAACAGAAAAATTGTGAAAATTGAAAGTTTTAAGATGTAGGAGGGGCTTATAACTCTTAAAAAAGAAAAGAAAATACACACTACATAATGTAATACTAATTTTGTAGAAGAAAGTCTATGTATAAAGTCTATGTGCTAGAAATAGATACATCAAAATATCAATAAATATTGTTGTTCTTTGTGAGAGGGTTATAAATGATTTATTTTCTTCCTCTAATTCCAAAATGTCCTAAAAAATTAATTATTTCTCTTATAGTCAGAACATGATATAAAAACAGAAGAAGACATTCTATCAAAATTCCTTATAGGAATAAATATTGTGAAAACTTAAAAAGCCAAACAGAATTCATTTGAATAGTAATTGGAAGAGAGAAAAATTAGCAGATACATTGGGAAAAGATATATTTCTTGCCACCATCTTAAGATTGTGTGCTAGATTTGTGCCTAATTTGGCTGTGAAAATTATGACCTTTTAGCATGATATCTGGTACTCTGACATATACATAAATCACACTAACTTATAATTAATTAAACAACTTGGATGGTAAAATAAATTGGTATACATGTACCAATTCTATTACAATTGAGTGGATATTGTCTGTCAAACTAGACTGATCAGAAGGAAAAAATTGTTAGCAGGCAATGTACACTGTAATAGGACTTCTTGCTTTAGATTCCTCATCTTTTCACTGGCACTAGTCCACTCAATTACAACAGAAATTAGTTCTAATTATATTGTTCCCCTTGGGCAATTTAATATGTAATTTCATGGGCCTCATCAATTCACATACTGTAAGACTTCCAACTGTCATATCACTCTTGAGGCACATTACAGAAATTTACTAAATATTTTTGTTGATATCTCCAAGTATATGCCATTTATGTTTAAAAGTCCCCAGTGAGTACCATAAAGCAATTATACTATTCTACTGAAAGTTGAAAGCACTTAAGAAACAAAAGAAGCTGGAGTTCTGGTAAGATGGCGATGGCACAGGTGGACTTGTGAGATTCTCCAAATGTGAGTTCCCAAAAAGACTCTTACTTTTCTTCTCCCATCCCCTGTCCACTGCCAGTTGCACTGGTTTGAGGCCCGGGGATCTTTGGTCCCACGCAGGGCTGGATATTGCGGCCCCTGGCTGTTGCTGCTCCACCATACATGACTCCCGCCTGCGTGGGAGTCTTGGGTCTCGGTTCCCTCCCTGGCTACACCGTCTCTCGCCCAGCACCCAGCACTAAGCCGTCAGTCACTCAGGGAGGCACTGGTCGCCCGCCCCTCAGAGACACCAGTCCCATTTCTGGCTGAAGTACCCTGTGGGGGGCCCAGGCCCACTCTCGCTGCTCACCGCCTGCCCTTTGGAGCTTTGGAGCTCTGGAGCTCTGGGCCCACCCTGGCTGAGGCACTCAGCACACGACCCCATGCTTGGGGACCCAGAAAAACAGAGAGAAAAGATCCACTAAAGTGAAACTGCCACCTCGGCCATTCTCCAGGCAGAGATTTGCATTGCCCCGCCCACCTATCAACAGCTCCCACCTCGGTTCCTAAGGTAACGTCACTAAACAGGAGACAAAGCCCCACCCCTAAGGTGAATCAGACAAAAGCAACTAAGCATGGCAAACCTCCCAGGCAGCAGGCTAAAAAAACCAAACACAAACTGTGAGTAAATCTAGCTGTCTATAACAAACAACAAAGGGGAGAGGCTGGAGATCAGCACTGAAGAGACTTTAGACACGCAGGAAAGTTTCCAGAACTAGTCTGATCTCTTATTTTGACTTTTGATTTTGTCATTTTCACTGTTTTGCTCACTTTGTTTGCTTTCTGACTTACACTGTTTCATGATTTTATTGGTCTGTCTCTGTGTAGCTACCAGTATTCTTTAGGGAATCTTTCTTACATGTTTTTTTTTCACTTCTCTCCCACCTTGTGTATCTTTCTCACCTGTTAGTTGGTATGTATGTCTGTTTTCCCTCCCACTCTTCTCTCTTTCTAACTTTCTATTGATCCCCCCTTGCTTCATTATTTTCCTCATTTGTAACCCGTTTTAATCCAGGGACCAAACCTACATACCACTGCACAGACAGATTGTAAGGCAATGGGAAATAGGTTCCAGTGTGCTCATACACCTGTTGGTGGATGCCAGAATCAGCATATAGATTCTGAACCACAGCGTCCCCCTCAATTAAACCTCAAAACTGCAAAAAGTATAGCCCACAGCCCACACTCCAACCTCAAAAGTGAACAAAGCCAGAGGACCCTCATAAGGAAGAACAGGAGATTGCACAAGTGAAACAAAAGCAACCCCACCTTCCCTGAAAAACAGAATTAAAGAAGGGGAGGGAACAGGGGAGAGAGAGAAAAATCTACACAAATGAAGAAAAACCAAAAGAAGAATATGGGTCTCTCCCAGACCCGAGGGAGGGAGAGACTGAGAAAATGGACTTCGGAATACAAACAATGAAGAGCCCCTAGAATGACTGGTCATAAACTACAAACCTAGATATCAAGACATTAATGGAGAGAATAAAAAGAATTGAGGAGAGACAAGAAGAAACCAGGAAGGAGCTGATATCTGAGATAACAGTAATAAAGAACACTGTGAATGAAATAAATAACAAACTGGTAAGCATGGAAAGCAGAATTACCCAAGCAGAAGAAAGAATATCAGAGCTTGAGGACCAAAATATAGAACCAACCCAAACTCTTAAAAACACAGAAAACAAGCTCAAAAAGAACAAAATCTTCAAGAGATGAGTGATTACTTCAAGAGACCAAACTTAAGAGTAATTGGCCTTCCTGAGGCAGAAAAAGAGACAGAGACCACACTGGAACAAACTTTCCATGAGATCATTCAAGAAAACTTCTATTAGCTAATCAGTGATGTAAAAATTCAAACATAAGAGATTCAGAGAACCCCTGCAAGACAACAAATGAGAAGACCAACTCCTAGACACATAATAATTCGCCTAAACAAAGTAGCTGCATAAAAGAAAAAATCCTAAAGGCAGCAAGAGGAAAAGGCAAGATCACCTACCACGGAAGACCAATCAGAATAACAGCAGATTTATCTACAGAAACCCTGCAGGCTAGGAAAGCTTGGAGCCCTATCTTCAAAGTCCTAAAAGATAAACAATTTCAACCAAGAAAAACCTACCCGGCCAAGCTAAGCTTCATCAGCGAGGGAGAATTAAATCTTTCCCAGATATCCAATCCCTAAAACATATGCTGCCACCAAACCACCTCTATATGAACACTTA